GAACAGCAGCGAGCTGGAGACCGAAGGCCAGCAGGGAGACCATCATGAGGCTGGTGTCAGAGGTCAGCCGCGAGCAGCGAAACTTGTCTCAAATCAACACCAGTACAGAGCAGTTGAGAATGGTGAGTAGAGGCAATCTCTCTGAGTTGACCTGCAGTTGTTTTCTGATCATCTAGACAACTTTACTCTGTTGTCAACGGCACACCCCTTTTATGTCATCTGTACTGCATCTTTATTTGGTAAATTCTCCTTTAAAACTGCTAATAGAAAAGCTTATGTATCAATAAATGTCTGACTTCTCTCCCACCAATGTCACTCAATGTTATAGCAACTCTGTCCACTGCTTTCCTCTTTTCTCAGATCTACAGCACCCTTTGGTGTCTAGCCTTTGCACCAGGTACTGTTTCTCAGCTTTTCCAACTTCTCAGCTTCTGTGAAACTAGGTGTTAAGTGGGCCTAACACTGTTCAATGTTGTACTGGCGATGCTTTCTGACACCTACAGCACTGTCCACAAATCCTCTTCAAGCTTGTGTTCTAATCAAGGATGTGTTATTAACTGTGTCCTCTTCTTCTCCTCCCCCCATGGAGGTATATCCCATGAACCCACATTCCCCCAAGGCAAGTTTCCTAGTGACTTCTCCCACTTCTCATCCTGTTGTATATCTATACAATACTTTCACAGGTAGACACACTGAAGTACTAGTATAGCTTTGGTTGTCAATCACTTGGAAATTCTCATGCATCAAAGCATTAAAAATTAGCAAGCACAGGTTTGCTGTTAAGACTGCTTATAGCTACTAGTAATATATTTTACCTGTAGGCTTGAATTGCTTTAAATGCTGCTATAAGAGAGAAGCTTGGGAAATAATGGTCTCAATGATAGCCAGGTAATTTAAATAAAAGCGTTTTTGGTTGTGTATTGGGAACCTTATTCTTCAATGACCAATTGCCTTGACTTATGCTATTCAAAGTCATAATGTCAGAGTGTGACAGACTAGTAATTTGCCTAAAACTAAAAGATTTTCTTTTTTGATATAACAGGAGAGGGAGGAAGCAATGCGGTCCAAAGAAGCGTTGGTTCGGGAGAACCAGCTTCTGAGGGAACGTATCGAATCCAGCGAGAAGGCATGGAAGTCCACACGGGAGGAGCTAGAACACAGAGAAGGTCGCGTACACACCATGGATGAACAGCTGCGGAACAGCCAGTACACAGCCAAGGCAGCCCAGACACAGCTGGACACGTTCAAACAGGCCATCGCATCGCTCCTGAGTGACGGTCAGGTCATCGTCCATGAGAGGGAGGACGACATCAAGGACAGGATCCGCTCCATCATGGGCTCCAGCAGGGACAAGCACGCAGTAAGTACAGCCTGAGGGTTTTCCCATCTCATTTTAGGCAACTCCTTTGAAATAGACGATTTTTGGGCTATTTTTCGTGTGTCGTACATCCTATATATTTACTGTCCAAAACTGCTGATCACTTTTTCCGTTGAGGTAACATATCATGTTCATACATTCAATCTTTGATGACCATACCACTCATTTCATCTCATCTTTATTGTTCTTCCCCAGGAATCAGACATGCTGAATCTGAAGGTGAAGGAGCTGACCAAACAGCTGGAGTCACAGTGTGAGCTGCACCAACAGGCCATCCGCAGGGCCAAGAAGGCAGAGGCTGACGTCGGCGACTTTAAGGATAGACTGACCAACTTGGAGGGTGAACTGTCGTCTGCAGATGTACTGAGAGATGGGCTCAGGACAGATAAGCAGAGGGTAAATCAACCTGCAGATTATTCTAGTAAATTCTATACTCTTCTTTACAAAAAAAAGTGTGAAAATTAGCTGTTAAAAGCTCTGTGGCAAAGCCCTAATATATCTTAATCATTTAAGAAAGAAAAGGTGCAAAGATCTACCAGTAAATCAGTCCTTGGCCGCTAACTATTATGTAGTACATGTAAATGTCAGAAAGTAGCATGTGCATATAGCACAAAATGCTAAAGGTTTAAGTGCATGTTGTACATGCTACAGGTTAAGATGTCAGCTCATATTTCAAAGCTGATCCTAACTCTAGTCTCTGTTACACCATGTGCAGTATCTGGAGTTCCTAGAGAAGATGGCACGAGTGATGAAGTTGGATGAGATCGCCTTGGATGTCGGCTTCGACTTGAACGGTGACGCACTCGTGGCAAGGGCCCAGCAGCTGGTCAACATGGAGGGAGATTCACTGAAAGACCGCACAACACATGTCTACAACCTGCAGAGGAAGGTACGCAAAGATATTTGCAAGAACTTTGTAAAACACAAGAGATACCTGTCCTTGGTGCTGAACACCATCCAATTAGTACATTATACATGTCCTTGGTGAAAATTCTTTTTTACTGTACTGACACTCTAATCATAGCAGTCTGACAGATGGATAGAAGTCATTATTCCAATACTGTGATCCTGAATCAATAAAAGTGTACTTTAGAGTCTTGAATATCTGATTGCATTAAATGCAAAAGTACAGATTTCGAAAATGGCCCATGCTGACTGAGTCCCTTGGCTTTTGGCAGGTCAAGCAGCAGAAAGAACAGCTGGAAAGCAAGGACCTTCACATGGACCTACTCCGCAAGAAGATCGGTCAGCTGGAGGAGAAGCTGCAGGTAGGAGCACTTCTCAACTCTTCCACATCATTGTTTGTCTGCTTGTACTGTGGTTTAGATTGTGACAAGTTTGTTTGTGCTGGCAGTATAAAGTTGAAAAGGAACCGAAGCAAACAGAGTAATTAGTAATTGATCAATTGCTTACGTCACGTATCAGTAAAGTCTCGTGTGAATGAGGTCACGTGTTTGTAAACCGTAACTCTTGCGAGATCACGTTTTGAAGTGATTGGTCATTGATTATCCTGATGAAGGCGACAGTGGTCGCTGAAAATTTGATCCCTGTAAATAGTGTGTTGGAATAAAGTTTAACGTTTTACTATGATTACTACCAACACAGATGAACTTTCATGATAATCAGAGTAATTAGCTTTGAGAATTTCAGAACAGAAGGCCTTGAAAGTTTTACATTTGTTACAGTACAATATCAAAGTCTGTTCTCAGTCAAATTCAGTTAGAGGTAGCAAAGTGTATGATGGCAAGTATGGTATATAGATTCTGTATCTAAAGGATGAGGAGTGCAGGAGTGCTAACAGTTGTTTATCATTATCAGGGTCGGAATGAGCTTGCGTTGGAGAGGGACGACGCAGCCATGAAGATCAGGAAGCTGCAGAAGCAGGTGGAGAGGCTGCAGGGACAGCTGGGTAACGCTCGTGCTCAGAACACTGAGCTGAAGGCCAAGCTGCAGGAGGTCACCGACCTCAAGGTCAGGACCCTGCAGCAGAAGGACCACATCAAGGACCAGGAGGAAGAACTCCTTAGGCTACGTCTTATGAAGGACAAGCTGGGAAAGAAGGTCAGCAACCTGAAGTCAGAGATCCAGATGACTGAGGCAGAGAGTGAAGAGACCAAGGTGTTGTCATCCAACACTGTCCAGGCTCTGTCCAACGAACTCAGGAGCACCAAGCTGGCACTGGATGAAGTGGCCAGGAGGGAGAAGGAGGTCTGTATCATCTTCTCACAGTTTTGCAATCCCTTCATTGTGTATTTCTTTTAGGAAGAAAGCCATTTGTGGCATCTACAAGAGTAGTATGCTTTCAAATGCAACAAATCATTGATATTAGCATTGCATCATAATTGCTTGTATGTGGTAAGGTCATAATGACATTGAGATGTCAACATTGATGGACATCAGTAAATAACCAAAAGGCATTTTTGTTTTTATCTTGCAGCTTGTTGACTTCCGCCAAGTCATCGCCCGGATGCTGGGTCTAGAGATCCACACTCTGGCCGTGCCAAACTACGAGATCATCGCCCGGCTAGAGAAACTGGTCAACGCACATCACGCTCACACTGCGACAACGCTCGGCGTGGAGACCGCTCTGGATGAAAACTTTGTGGTAGGGTACGAGGACGCGCGGAGATTCCTTAAGACGAGCCCAAGAAGTCCAAGGCGCGCTAGATCAGTGTCTCCGACAAGGAGATACTACCAAACTCAATAGTACATGGTGTAAACAACCAATTTTATGTCTGTCTTGTCTTATATTATTAAAAAGCATACAGACTGATACAACATCTATTTTCCCTGAGACCGTATGATGGTGTATGTCAATGGCTGTATATTTGTCAACTGCATGGGAAATGATACAAAGATATTACATTTGTGGTAACTTTAGCAGGTTGTAGAAATTTATAGGAAAGTTAAGACCAATGCAGTGCGCCGCTTTTAATAGAGATGAAATTGTGCATGCCTCCAGGTAATATTACGCATGTTTCACAGATCAGAATCATTAGTACTGACTGTGTTTTGATACTTTAGAGTAAGACATGATGATGAGATTCCCTTGCTTCAAGATAAGGGTTGATGAACATGTACAATGGTGGAAAGTATTCGTAAGTCATGAGCAGCTATGTATTACAGTATGATGCAGTGCTGTATATAGCCTTATTGAGCAGAACCTGCCATGCATAAGGGCTTTTGTACAATACAAACTTGTGTAGGTAGTTCTAAGACTGTTGAAAAGACTATGATTTAGATTCCATAGGGCTCCATACTATATGTTTTGTGCAATTGTTGATTATTTTTGCTTTTTTAGTGTATCAACATCATGTCCACGGCATGTCTGCATGTATTGAGCGGGCCATCATTTTTTAATTGTTGGCATTATATAAAATTCTATCATTAGTTTGGGGACATTTTTTAACTTGCTTCTGTTACTAAAGCATGATGTTATGGTAAAATGTAAATCAGCAGATCTGGATGAAAATATCACATTACTCAGAATACTGCTATTTACGCATGTAGAAAAGGCTGTCCCTTTTTGTTTTCTGAAACTTCGGTAATATTTGGGAAGCATCTTGTATATATAGTCTATTTTCTATTAAAGCAAAGGCTTGGATATTTGGTTTAGCCTGTGTATTTTTTAGTATCTGGCTTTTGGTTCATATATTTGAATTAGTACACCTGCAGGTACTGAAATATTTTCCAACATCAGTGTTGCACAAACACATAAACATACACAGCTGTAGATTGAGCAACAACAGACTAGTGACAGGCATAAAGTACTAGATTCAAATAACTAGTAATATCGAATGCTCACCTTTTGAAGAAAGATCATGACCTTTGCATGTTCAAAATATAAGATACACAGAAGTTCGCCTGCAGTATCAAACAAAGTCGCCAGGACGCTAAGAATCTCATCATCTTTTTCGATAGGTTAGGATCTAACCAAGCGTATCGTATATCACGATTTACATTTGTAGATTATCATGTATAAATTTTGACATCTAATTTTATGTCTTTATTCTAGTTGTAACTGCACTACACGGTGGGACATTGGGCAGCAAATACAGCTGATGCTGCTCTCCACACGTTACAAAATACAATGTATAAAAAAAACATACAACACAGATAAACAACTTCTAGGATAACGGCGATTGTCTGGTCTGACACTGAGAAACTGTGGAATATCAACAGTGAACTTTTGTGTCCGTGATATGATTTGCCTTCAATTGAGAATAAGAAGAAACATGAGTAGCATACCAATTGAGAAGGACACAGAGCTCTCACTTGGCTTACTAATCTCGCCACCACAGCTGTCATTGCGTCCCTCAGGTGTTGCTGGCTATCATTCACCGGCAGCCTGTTTAACTTCGCCTGTGGGAAATGTAGTCATGTGCGAGCGTTTTGCTCGCTAAACTGGAGCAGAAACTAGGTCCTCCCTCCTGAGGACCCGGTCACATTGGTCGCACAGAGGGTACACCGTAATAAATTGAGGACATTCTTAGGACAGTTGTTGCATGGGGAAGCACAAAATTCAGCGTTCTTCAGACGGAAAAGGTTGCTTTTGTGGCAGCCTTACAGAAAATCCTACAGCAGAAGACTCGTGCGACAAATCCGACCGACAATGGCATCTATGGAATGCATTACCAATGACAAGTGAAAGGACATATTCATGAAAAACATTGGACACTTCGAAGCTCCTGAATGACTGGTCTAATAAAAGGACAGAAACCTTGTAGCGAACAAGCCCCAATAAAGTGGGTGACTTGTACATAGTGATTATTATTGTGTGAGTAAATCCATCACTTTCTCTCATCTTACGTCACCCTTCCAATTCGACCTTAAGGTCAATCTGCGGTAACCAAATCCCCATTTTTGGATAATGTGCCATAATAGTGAAAGCAATAGAGCCGGTAATTGAAACAGACGGTATCTAGTATGACCCATGCACGCGTGAAATTCAGGAATGGTCTATTTTGTCTGAGTGAGGGGTGGAGGTAAGCAAACATATTTTAGATAATTTTGGCTCTTGTGCCTTTAGGTGATACACGATCAAAAGGATCAACATCCCGGATTTGCACAAATTCAATAATGTAGTTGTAGTTCAATATATGTACATCTACGTGGTGTTTTACAACCAGATTCCATTTCCCCACCATGGAAATGATACAATTCAACGGGTGTTCTAACAATGTTGTAGTTATGGTAGCTTTATCATCGTTGTAATAATCATTATTCTCATTTCATTTTCATTATCATAATTTTGTTATTCTCTGTTGTGTGTGATTAAAATGATTCATCTTGTTATTTATTTCTTTACTTCAAAGGTATGGTGACATAAATTATTGGGCGAACGCATGTTGTTCTGTTATTACTAGCTTAGTCTGGAGAGTGATTTTCCGTCTCTCGGCGAGGGTCCATTTTTCACATCCGTAGGTTAAGATTGGTTTCAGTATATATGCTGTAGATGTGGGCTCTCGCCTCTGTTGGGGTGTTACGGAATAGTGCATCGGTACCGGTGTTTTTGGAGAATGTAGCTATTCTGCTCATGATTGTTGTACCACTGGTGGCAATGTTGTACTTCCGAGGCATGTATCAACAGGCTTGATGGGATGACCATTAATAGATAAGTGGCCTTTATTGCACAGGTTAACAAAGTTTATAAATGTAAATATAAACGTCTAGAATACACAAGTACATTGTACTTTCAATTTCAAAAATTCACCTTCCTCTAGCTTCAAATTAATGTTCAGGTCACGAGTTACCAAGCCCTTGCCAGTTGCCATGTACATGTACTCTGTTTTGCCATAGCTGGGTTTTAGACCCTTCCCGTCGTCTCATTTTGTCATAACATCCCCCAGTTTTCTCATAGTAGGAGTGTTCAGATTGTGCGATATCATCGGCATAAGCAGATCTCTCCCTTTGAAAATTTGTCTTGGTATTGTCTCTATAATGATATCCAGGTAAACAATGAACAAGATTGCTTACAGCGCTTTTCTGCTCTACGTACGTATGTGGTCTTGATGGTACTCAGCCAGATTTTGCATTCAGTACAGCATTTTTATGAATAGATGGTAAAAGAAACACTCTGTATTTCTGTTGACCATTTAACCATTGTCAATTCAGTCTGTCAACGGGCAACGCAGTTGTCTAAGTTTGTAGGGTTATCAAGTTGAATAGGGTGTTTCACTCACGTGACAAGGGTTCGCCATAATGGATGGTTAAACCAGAAGGTGAAGATGCTGTACTGTCACTGTTTTTCCATAAAACATAACCAACTATTTGTAATAAAAGAAATCATTTATGTTTCAGAAGTTTCTTTACATGGTTGACGGTTCCAATCAGCTAACAAAAGCATTTTCTGTATAGTTCGAGCCCCCTGTGCCAAGATACTGAAATCAACGATGCTTAAAATTGGCTAAGGGTGCTTTTTGGCACGCACCTACGCGTTCATGTTTAAATATTTGTAGTATTCCATTTTTCTACCATATTGCGATGCGCTAAAATCAGCCCAAAGCAGATGTGCCGACATGAACACTTGCTGCGAGTTGAGCATGTACATGTACGTCGTGACCATTCCGTATGCCCCTGGGACAGTTGGTCCTTCTGAAATGTACTGTACTTTATCCGGCTACTGACATTTATCGGTTCATCTGGGTCCGTTTCCTTCAAGAAATACGCGGCGTCTCCGAGATACGGATCATGAATAACCCAATATTGGGTAACCTTAGTAGGTGAGGGGCTTTTCTTCAAGGTCCCGTGCTTGTCTCGAATTACAGCATTTACGACGTCCCTGAATAAGTAGATAACTTTCCACAATTCGCGCTCTTTCCCTTTTGGCATATGACTATTATATACTTATCAAAGAGAAGACGTAAGAGCTTCGATTTTTGGCAGCACAGCAGGCGTCTAATGTGTTATAATAATGTGGGGCCAGGGTGGGGAGAAGCAAGGATCCTTTGTCTCCATCTGAAGTGGGCTGGTGAAAAAACAAGGCCCCAGGATGGAGGGTTATGAGATTTGCAGGTCTGCTCCGCGCGCAGCGGGCGCTCAACAGTTATAGCCGAGGGTACCAGAAACCTAGTTAGCCGTGACCTTGCGATTGCTTGCGGTCTTTCGTGTTGCTCGTATATATACGTAATTAGCATAACAGTGAAAGAGTCCTGAGTAATGATAGAAACCTATTTCCTTAAGTCAGATTTTGTTGTTTTGTGATGTTAGTTTGATTTCCTGATTCAAGCCTCGCATTCCAAGTGGTTCCGTGAGACTAAAACCTTGCCAGACACTTCGCGGTGCAGTTTTATCGATCGACTGGCTGCAGAACTGTAATTTTCGGGCGTATTTGCGGCTAGCTATTTACGCCGTGCGTAATAATGAATCTCACAAGCTAGCCCGCTTCCCTTCTTGGCGGAGCCGACACCATTCCGTCGTTTTATTGATGTGTCTATGAGAAAAAAACAGCAGGTCGACCCAAAATGTTTGACAGATAAGAACTAACACAGAACATATATCAACTGAGTCGTGCCTAGAACGTAGTAGGAATATACAGAAAAGGCCAATGAGAAATGGAATGTCGTTGCGTTTATTCAGGTTATTGCCAATGTTGAAAATCATTACGGCTGAACCACCCCTGGGGCCACCCTTTCACAGGAGCAAAGTTTTCGAGGCCTCCAGCTCCACAATGTGTTATAAAGGGTGGTAATTATACGCTGGACCTGACGTTGGCCTTCTTTCGAATACGAACAGATGGGCCCCAAGCAGCGGAGGAGGAGAAATATGGACGGTGTGATTTTTTTCAGCGGCTGAATCGATCGATACCGTGGCGTTGCGGTATTGACGATTTTTAGAGGGAAACTGATAAACCGCTCCGGGGTTGTCGTAATTGTGATTCCGAGCACTGAGATTGGGAGGTGGTGGTGGGGAGTCTGGGGGGAGGTTCGGTGGTACATGGTGGATCCAGGGGTGGTTTTTAAGGGACGGGGAAGTGTGTGAGATGAGTAATGGTGAGTTGATGGAGATGAGGGCGTATGGGTTGTGACTTCGCTCCCGCCAAATCAATTCCCCGCAATCAGCGCACCCCACTGATCGATGTTGCCACCGCCGCCTCAATAACAAATTAATATAAAACAGGGCCCCGGGGGCCATGATTTCCATTGTTGCCTGAATTATATGGGCGTAGTGCTGGGATGATCGCAAAGCAATGGGGCCCTCTGAAACCCTCTATCAGAAGAATTGTCCGTCCCCAACACGGTGTTTATTGGGGTGGTCCTTTTTTCAGGCAATGGGGACAGAATTGTCTATTGTTGCATTATTTGCCCGTCACGTGTCTCGTAATAAGGAGCAAGTCGCACGAAATGGAGGCAAGAGGTCCAACTGTATTATGTATGAAAATTTGAATAATGCAGCGGCGGCTGGCCTCCAGGGTTGGCGTGTTGGCTGCTTATAGGTAAGGAAGGAAAATGCGCAAGTTGGTATCTAGCCTGCATCACAGCGAGGCTGTGGCAGCCCTGCTGACTCAGGTGGGCCGCAGTGAGGACCACTCGCAGCTCGTGTAGCTGAAGGACTGGGCCGAGACAGGGACGGTACAGTCTCTGTTTGATTTCCCTTTTGGAAGAGGCATTTAACTGTCTCCAAGAAGTGGCGCACGTTGTCGAGAGTGCGCCGCGCCTCCGCCATTGTTGGTGGGGGGAGGGGAGATTCCGATATTTCCAATAGGAGGTGCTGACTGGCCGGATTTGAGGAATGGCTGCTGAGTGGCCCGCGAGATGGGGAACGTGATTTGCTGGATATTATCGGGTGCGATTAAGTGGAACGAGCAGCCGTGAGGAGGCGGCGGGGAGATAGCGCTCACTGATCGAAATCGGGTGGACCCCGCGAGCGCGTCCGGACAAGATGGGTGCGCGCTCGCGGAAACGGCGCCAGGAGTAGAGCCGCGTTTTACAGGATGTTCCCCTTCCGGCAGGTCCACGCTGGCTGAGACAGGGGAACAAGATCCTTTCAAAGACCTCTGTGTTCTAGACGCTACCAAACTGGCAGCCCCGGCGAGCATCAACATGTCAACCACCGTGCACCTCGTGGAGCGCTACGGGCTAACTCCCATCCTGCGGCCCAAAGTGCACTCGACCAAGGATCTTGCAGAGAAGAGCAGCAATACCAACACCCCGGTCGTAGAGGAAGAAGATCATCATGGCTCCACCAACAAGCTGGCGGTAGTACAGAGCGAGGATGAGGTGCCGGTGAGGACCCGCAGCGGCCCCACGCCCGACAACAGCAAGGACCCGCGGCGCAACTCGGGGCTCAACAGCATCACACCCGTCTCCCATTCCCGGTCCATGGCCATGCTGCAAGAGATTGACTTAGACTCTTTCAGCCCCAAGGCGTACGAAGATGGCGGCGGGGAGTGGGACCACAAAAACTGCTGCGACCGGATCGTCATCAATATCTCTGGGCTCCGGTTCGAAACCCAGGTGCGAACACTGGCCCAGTTTCCTAACACCCTCCTGGGCAACCCACAGAAGAGACTGCGCTATTACGACCCCCTGCGCAACGAGTACTTCTTTGATAGGCACCGGCTTAGCTTCCAAGCCATCCTCCATTTCTATCAAAGCGGGGGCCGTCTTAGGAGACCTGCCGACGTGCCCACGGATATTTTCACGGAAGAGATCAAATTTTTTGAGTTGGGGGAGGATGTCATAGAAGCTTTTATGGAAGAGGAAGGATTTGTAAAGGAGCCGGAGGAAGAACTTCCGACAAACAAAGTCATGAAAGCAATCTGGGTCGCGTTCGAACACCCTGACACGTCCTTCATAGCCAGGGTTATAGCCATTGTGTCTGTAAGTGTAATCATGGTGTCAATAATCACGTTCTGTCTAGAAACTATGCCACAGTTCAAAAGGATGCAAGAAGTGACAGTGGGCAACAAAACTGTAAAGATAGAAGCCGAAGTGCCAGGTCCAACAGACCCCTTCTTTCTCATCGAGACGTCGTGCATCGTGTGGTTTACGTTCGAACTCATCATTAGGTTCATCTGTTCCCCAAGCAAGTGGGAGTTTTGCAAGAACTTCATGAACATCATTGATCTTGTTTCCATCGTGCCGTATTTCATCACCTTGGCCGCCGTAGTGGCCAAATCCGAGGGGTCCAAAAATCGATCCTCCTCCTTAGCTGTACTGAGGATAATTCGGCTGGTGCGAGTTTTTCGCATCTTTAAACTTTCACGTCACTCTAAAGGACTGCAGATCCTCGGACTAACCCTTAAGGCTAGCATGCGAGAATTGGGACTCTTGGTCTTCTTCGTCTTCATAGGAGTCATTCTGTTCTCGAGTGCAATCTACTTCGGCGAGACAGACTACAAGGAAACCCATTTCTCCAGTATCCCCGAGGCATTTTGGTGGGCTTTAGTGACAATGACCACTGTAGGGTATGGCGACATGTACCCACAGACCGTGGGCGGCAAGTTGGTGGGGTCGCTGTGTGCCATAGCCGGCGTACTGACTATCGCATTGCCGGTACCTGTTATCGTCTCCAACTTCAACTACTTTTACAACCGCGAGACTGCGGCAGAGAACGCCACCGATGAAGAAGAATTCAGACATGTGGACCAGATCTGTCCGTACGTCCCACCATCGGACAACAAGAAGAAGCTGAGCAACAGTGATGGCACCGGGAACTCGATGGATTACATCGACACTGAGGAAGGGTGGATGTCGAACGATCCCTCAAGGGAAAGATTGACAAAGTGCCTGAACTCTGACACTCCCAGCTATGCCAAACTGAACAGGTTAAACACGGACGTTTAGGTGAGCCCAGGCACTTTCCTATAAGACACAATAACTATAACGAGAGCTATAATAACTTAGGAAGTTAGATAAACAATGGATACAAAAATATCGCATGATCTCTACTACTGATGCATGTTTGTTGTTACTGCCAGCACAAGGCAACACCTCATCATGAGTTGATCATCTATGCAAAACATGAAACCCAGACCTTAAAGCAAATGCAATATTTATCCACATATCACATTGAATTCAAAGGCCACGTAATAAATAATCAGTGGTATTTCTTTTATAATAAACAATTTTGCTGTGCTTTATCATTTTCTTTGCATGCCGTGATATTATCATAGTATGTCACTGGGTGTATTTTGTATGAGAATGGTAACCGCCTAGCATTTTGCTTGGCAAAACAAGTGCATGATGCCAAAATCAAGGAGAAGGCTCTATATATGTCGAAAACCCTGCCGGGCCTCGATTCAGTTCATTACCGAGCCCGTTGAGTAGGGAATCAGTTGGGGGGCCACAATAGGCTATGAAGGACGTGTCAGGTTGTTCTCAAGATGATAGGACATGGGTTACAGGGGAAACTTAACTAAACAAAATGATATCTACTCAACCAGGGAAGTTTACCAGTGATGCATACGCAGTAGCATGCAGTGACGCATGTACGGTGTGCCCGAAGGTGTATGCATTTTTTTCCTGATTGGTTGAGGCTAGAAAAGACAGGTGGCATGCTCTGCACCCCTCATTGGTTCGGCTTTGCATGAAGAATTTCTCCCTTTAGGTCATTTCACGCACAGCACGTTTGATTCTATGCAAATAGCTTTAATTGACAAGTCTATCAAGTGAAATCATGGCGACATACGCGCATGTTCACGGAACAAGAAAAGTATTTTGGTACTGCCAAAATCACGTTGTTCTTTTCAGTTCTCAGGGCCTTTGAAAATGATGTCATGTGTAGGACGTTTGAGGTGTGGCTGAAAATGCTTTCTTTTCTGAAGAAAGCAGGACGCCACACGAAAGTACAGGTCCCCGTGAGTCACTCCGACATGACAAGCTGGGCGAAATCAGTCCAGCGCTGACATTTTCTTTTCCCTTATGTTCCATCATAAGGCATGATCAACTGATTTGTAAGGGAACCTACAAAAACGTTCGAAAAAAAGCACACAACGTTGAGCACCGTCAACAATTTGTCCCCCAAAATCTCGGTGCTTGTAAATATAGATAAGTGAGGAAAAAAGCGAGGAGGATCGATTTTTGGACTATATGAGAGTTTTTATCGACGTAGAAATTGTATTAACGACATGTTTACTAATTAAGACAGGCAGTGAAGATATATACATATATAGTGATCTTGCATATATACAAATATCAACAGGAAACCATGAGAATTTCTAATGTAAAACATGGATAGCTCTGTGTGACCCCAACCCGCCACATTACCTCCACAGCTCCCAGGCATTATTCATATCTGCTCACGTGACCTGCACCAGAATAACCTACTATTCCCGTACGGTCTGCAGTCACGTGTGAGCCTCTATCTTTGTTCGACAGAAGAACTGGGATTTCCTGACTATATCACCGCAATACGCCATGCTCGAGCGCTGCACTTTTGTCCTAAATATTCATGAAGCAGTTACAGTGAGAATGCATGACGCAAGACCGATATTATTCAGGCACCACCCATTTTGTGCCCCTCCAAAAGATCAAATATGCAGACGGCGTCTTTAAAAAAAGACCTGCTCTATCTTAATTGAGTGATGATAGCTTTATTCCGGGTCCAAATTATTTTAGGACCTCATTTCCCTTTTCGCGGAGTCTATGTGCTACATATTACTTAACTTAAACGGATTATCTATTTCTGTGCCCTATGCAAGAGAAATATTCTATGAAGATCTTCGCAAAAGCTCAATGATAATACGTATGCATCCAGAAGTCGTTTTCTATTCGTAAGCTGTGATTAGGAATGGATACGTATGCATTCTTACATACGTGAAATTTCTTTAAAATAGGGTTGGGAATAGGGCTACCACCTCTACATGTAACTATCGAGACTTTCTGGTAAACAAGCATCACACGCCCCTTAACATTAGGATCCTCAGACGAAGCGAGGAAGAGGCCATTGCCGATTCTCAAAAGGGCATTTATATAAATATCCATCCACTTTCACGATGACGTAAGGATCACAGTACAAACACATTATGCACGTAGAACAAGACATGTCTGGTAGGAAATTGTGTCGTGCGTTCTCACTGGACTGATCGACCTTGCGCCGCGGCAGTCTTGCTGGCCACAAAAAAACGAATTGCCTTGGTTGCGGCCCTGTGTACCATCTGTCAATAAGATTGGTGAGCGCGCGGTACGGAATATCAAGAAGGCAGAGAACGTAGCTTCATGGCGTACCTGTGCAAAAATCAATGCACCGGAGAAGAAGAATAGCACCGCAAAGCCTTTAGTTTTGTCAGAATATCAATTAGATACGCATCTATGTCGACTGCAATCATGTATTACCATTCATGCTCAAATGCTTTCCTTTCATTGCGGTCACGTGTAGCTGCAGGTGAACTGACGCTTTGTATGTTTGGATTTTGTGTGTTTGGATTTCTTTTTAATTTTCAATACTTTCCCAGAATCTGAAAGATGCATTTTTAAACATAGACACTGCATTAATTTTTCCTGTCATTTTTTTTACTATCGTATCGTGACACTTTTTTTATGAAACTGAATCACGAGGTCTCAAAGTATGAAAGTCTTTGTTAGAAATGAGCTTTTTTGTTGTTGCTGTCCCAATCTTTGATCGTTTTATCGCCCCTTCAAAGCATATCTAGCATACCATATTTGACATATGACCAGTCGGTGATTACAATTAGACCATTGTAGTTGGACCACGTTTGTCAGAAGCAATGAGACCGTTACCAGCGGGCCCGTTTCCATTACCAATTCAATTGGACTCCGGGACGGACACTCAATCACCCGGAGCACCGGCAAACTATTCCAAGTGCTGCCATCGGTGTCGTAACGGATGTTTTAATCAGTCTCTTACCTCCTTGTTTCCACTGGAGATCGCTTGATTCGAATGATAGTCTTGGCGCCGTGCCACCCAAGGTCGCTGCGCTGGATCCTGCCACTAGAAATCTTTATTACGCGAGATTAAGATGATGGAAGTGGCTGATTCTCGACTTGACATTCAATCACCAAGGGCTTCTGAAAAATGGTGAAATGCGTAATAACTTTATTCAGGCATGGCGCCGTGAAAGTCTACCGTCACATCGCGATGAAAATTTGTATTGACGTGTAGATTTGCAAGGTATCACGCAAAAGTGCTGTTACTAACAATTACAAATTGGAGCTATCATATGTTGTAGCAACAAAAATTTGCAAAGCGAAGACATAAAAGAGTTAAAAGCTATTTATGGCCCTAAATCCACAGACTTTGACAAAATCTCTGCTTCTCCAAATTGAAACGTCTTCACTTCAATGTAAATGCAGCAGTGCGCATGTTTGATTTCGAGAATGGGAAAATAACCCGATACTGGAAAATCTGACAAATCAAATTCATTAAATGTCCCCCATAACTATTCAGTACGCGGTACACCACGTATAGATTGTATTTCGGTTTTCATATTACAGTTTGAATATCATCATCATGGCCCAATATTCAGACGGTATCATATTAAGGCTGCTGTGGGTGGATTATTATTTTGACAAGGTGAACGTCCTCATCTAAATAGATACATCAAAATTTTATAGGAGCAGAGGTGAGGCAACTGAAGTCCCCGATATGCTTTTTATTTCATTATTTAATCGAGGCGCAGCAAAACTGCCGTGGCTTTAAAAAACACGTATACTATGTATACTGCACACAGGAAATCCCAGGTGAACGTCGAAATAATCGACAAACTCATATATCTGACCCCACATTCCTATCTCCTCTGAATATTCTGTTGGCCTCAAATCGTATACTCTATCCTCCCTGTCTTATGTTGACCTACATGCGCAGGCGCCAGGCATGTCCTGTTGATTGAAGCAGTAGGTAATGGTTGTCGGATGACAGCCACACGCAAATGTAGGCCTCACAAGACAGGAATGGGTTAAATGATTCCCTTCCTTGCTCCACCGCCTATATCAAATATTCTGTATCTTCTGGAAATATGTTTAACAGTTAAGGTAGACGATTTGCTTATTTCATCAACATATCAAGGTTAAAACAGAAAAAAACACAATCAAATTGAGTTTTAGTGCCTTTCGATCATAAAGCACATACTTGGAAAATAGGCCCATCTGACAACCTATTGCTGACGCATCTAGCTTTGCCTACCGGTCGATCAGATGGTAATACGGAGGGCAGGGACGTGCTCTGCATGCCGTGATGGGATTCTGACATCGTGTAATTTATCAGGCTCTTGTTCAGAAGGCCCTGGTGCGCCAGCCGTGCCGCAAAATCACAACTGCCGTGATTTTTTACCCCCTTTTCCCAGCTTTATTCTCATCTGTGCATTTTTTCCGACTTGAAGGCCTTTGCATGTCATTCCCAATAGATTATATAACCACGACGTGACAACACAATTTCTCATGTATATATAAAAGACTACACCTTTATTAGCGCAGTTAAGTAATCTTAAGTCTAACGGCTAAAGGAAACTATATAAGGTAGAATAGGAGTGCATGCACACGACGATCGGAAAACAAAGTCCTTTGAATTAAGAATCCATGTACTACCAGAAATACCTTAAGGAGCCAAATATATTATAAGAAATACAGGTAATAAATAAATGTAATAAGTACATCGCACAAAGAAACTGATGAATCAAAATTGTACATATACTAGCAATAGATATTTATACCTTCCAGCCTATCCAGAGGCTTGCAATACAATAGTATAAGGAATGTCTGCACTACTGGAACCACGTTCACGTAACGGATGCATGATAACTGTCGATACGGTCACCTTCCATATCCCATGTGTACTCATCAGATTGGTAATGGTGTTATGTATTGAGTAAGTAGTCCCTACTGGAAAGTACATATCAGCTGTGGCCGCAGCATGATCGTTTTTCGCGGAGACGTCTTCGCTCATTTACATATCGATCTTCCCTTTTCACAGCCTTCGCCATTTTGGGCGGCCTGTATCACACTGTAAGTAGATTAAGAACAGACCTGCGGGTTCAGTGTACACGTATATTCAACACACAGCTAGGAAAGATCACTATTAAAGTAAGTCTTCCCTGATTACATTTCCAGTAATATCTAAGGTCTAAGGCGCTAACGATGTTTGCATGTTGTTTATCAGATCTCTCTCAGAAGCTACCTGATAAAATGTAACGACCTACGGGCTTTGCTGCATTGCAGTACCTAACTCTGTCAAATCGAAAAATCGAAGATGGAAATAAAGCCAAAGAAATAACCTATTGGAGATTGTCTTCAGTGCGTGTTGGTATCATTTGCATATATGCTGATGGGACCTGAGCTGTGTGTCATGGAAAATAACCATACGATAGGAAATAAAGACCGATATCATTGACGTCCTATCTGGAGCTATAAGGTCCAGGTTGATGAGTGTAAGACCAATATCGGCCGGGACGCGATATTTCACGGTAAACCCACCCGGCTTACAATTTCCCACCGCAGTCACTTCATGGCCGATTGCAATTTATCATGTGACGTTACATGCAAAAGGCGGTGTGGGGAGAACACGGTACAGCTAAGCTTAGCAAACTTAAGAACCCAAAAAAGACTATGTAAGCCTTCTTGGATATTTCAACATAGTTGGAATAGAAACAATACTGCGCCATAGGTGTGCCCTCTACATACTAATGAGTTGGTTCCCTGTCCCCATTTCTCAATGCAGTTCTCGTATCAAAATCTTACCACAATGTCAGCACGTTATTGTTCTGTCGTTTTTACTGCGATACCCTTGAAAGAAGCAACCGTGATCCCAGTTCAAGATTAGAGTCATAACAGAACTTAACTACGTGTGTTTTAACTACGATAACCCATATAGAAATATAGCCAGACGACGTCAACAAATCAGAAGTCTCTATTTCATATTGGTTGTGACGCAGTAACCCCACCACGTGGTGAATCATGCTCCTAAGTAGTCAAATAACAATTAAATTTTTGACCGCTAGTCGACCGTACCATTATGTAGGTGGAAAGGGCTCTTTTCGCTGATAATTTTACAACATGTTTTTGTGTTTTTTTTCTAAATGTTTACCATATTATTATTAAATGCATCTGCACACAATAGATGACTGAAATCAATTCAATTGAAGTCAAATTTGAACGGGAGGTAAGAAAAACAGAATTATCCGCACACCCTACTGTAACTGTAAGTGGAACCGTCCACAGATCGACCACATTTTGTGTTTTGTCCGCCGTGTTGGAGAAGCAGGTTGGAGGACACTGTGCAGTTTTACTTCCGAGAAGAGTTCTACTTTGACGGTTTTGAGACTGGACGTCAAAACAGTCAGCGGCTGGCGAACAGGGACAACGGAACGAAGTCCCTCTAAATTTTGTTATGAAAATATAATTTTACACCAAAACCACCAATGAAAACACCAAAACCACCCAGGTAATTTTCCCAGGTCGTTTCATTCTGTACCGTCGTACACGTGATCCAGTCACACCTGGATGGACCCCTTCTTCTTTCCGACTTCATTTCAGATTTTATAACCTATTTTTATAGTTAGTTTCGGAATAGTTAGTTTCGTACTATGTGAATTGAATTTGACCCACGTGTTTAGTTCTGAGAATGCTTCAGGTCCCAATTCGACACGGGGCATTGCCATAGG